TGATAATTCTCGATCGATGGCACGCTGATAACATTTTTTTTTTTTTAAATGGCACTTCATATCAGAAAGGTTGCCGACCCCTGGTATACACTGTCCATTGTACCAAATAAGTCTAGGAAAACATGTAGCTTTTCAATAAGCAGTGTCCTTTCTATTGTATAACTCACATAATATTTCTCTGTAGATTCTATTTGAGGATTGTCGTAGCATGGCTAACTCATAATTAGATCGCACAACGGCTGAAGGCAACTACTGCACTTGTTTCTTTTCTGGTTTATAATTAGACTGAGCAGAATGTGGGTTAATGTTCCCATCAGCCTGAATAGTACACTCATATTAGGATAAGCTTGGCTCTGTATTCTGCGCACAGAGAGTGCACGAAGCAGAAGGTGTTCCTAGCGACAGATCAGTTTAATCTTAAAATCAGTCCTCCATGTCTGAGTGAAGGAGCATCAGATAAGACGGACTGATTGATTCAGTGTCTCTGAAAGGCTGCTTTCACTGAGCGGCTGCAGGCTCCCGATGACAAATTGAGACACGTGTTTTTATCCACCCTGCTGTGAAAACATGACACAGTCGTCGCTAACGATCTGACGGCGTCTCAAAAGCCACCGGGCTTAGATTAATCTGAGAACAAACATCACCCCGAGTGCAGGAACTTCAAATGAGTAAGCAGCTCTGCCAGGGAGAGGGATGGGCGGAGGGAGAGAGAAACTGAAAGCCTGACACACACACTGTCTGTTTATCGCATGTCAAAAGCCAACAGGCTGTCTGAAGAGCCACTCCATAAACAGGAGGCGCTCTACAATAATTAATGCTAATAATTTTTTTATAACTCATAATTCCTCGTGTGTTGCAGTTTCCACAGGGTGACACCTGCTTTGTTGATATGTGTGTGAATGTGTGTGAGTGTGCGTGTGTGTGTGTGTGTGTGTGTGTGTGAGTGTGCGTGTGTGTGTGTGTGTGTGTGTGCAGCTGCAGAGTCAGTGAGCCAAACAGCAGCAGTGGTGCAGCAGTATGTAGGTAAATCAGTCTATTACTAACACTCTGCCTGCCTGGAGCAAGTCTCCTGGGACGCTGCTGACAACACACACACACACACACACACACACACACACACACACACACACACACACACACACACACACACACACACACACACACACACACACACACACACACACACACACACACACACACACACAGTCAAAGAGTCACTGAGCCTGTATACACAAGCGCATTTGCTCATAAATATACAGCAGGGTGCAGGCAGAGCAATATACAACTCATACATAGATCGTTACAGTATAAATAGCTGAGCTGACATGTATTGTAACAGCAGGTTACTAACCGACAGCTATTGTTGATCCTCTTTCAGTATCGTTGAGCAAAAATACCCAATTTTTTTTATGGTACATACAATATAGGGATGGGAACGATTAATCGAATATTCGAAATTATTCAGGTATTCGAATATGAGTTATGAATTTATTTATTTTTTGGGAGGGGTGTCTAATTTGATTACATATGATCAAATGGAATAATTCAATGTATACAACAGTGCCATAGCTAAATGTGTTAGGTCTAAAGGTGTGTTTTGCTCCGCTCACCGGTCCCTCACAGCGGGCAGAGCTGCAGGTGCTCTCTCTCACGTCCGGTTATACTTCACTTTCTGTCCAAGTCCATCAGATCTAGCTAGTTCTAGCTAACGATATGGCTACTGCCCCTCCCTACACGCAGATCACGCAGACTCAAACCTCATCTTATGCCCTAATTCCAGC